CCCATCTCTATGGTTTCCCACTTCACAACAATATTCAACGCAGTAACAAAAGTGACTGCTTCAAAACATAAATCACATTGTCACTTAAACCCCTTGAATAGTTGTACTTAAAATAAAACCAAATACTTTATCATGGATTCTAAAGCCCAGAGTTTCTAAGTATCACTCTAATCTTACCCTGTTGCTCTCCCTTATAACCATTATGTTCCAGTTACAGTGATTTTATTAATTTACCTGAACATACCAGCTCTTTCTTGATCCTGGGCCTTTCATGCATTGTTCCCATATCCAAAGCTCTCTTATCCAGCCACAACATAGTTAGCTATCCTCTAGGTCTCATGAAGGTCCCTTCATCAAAAAGTCTTCCCCTAATTACTCTGTGCCTGTTACTCACTATTATCTCTGCTGTGTTTGTTTCTGTGAGAGCACTTATTACAATATATTCATTAGACTATAAGCTCCATGAGAGCAAAAACCATGTGCCTCAGGTTGTATGTAATATAATGCCAGATATAAGCAAGGGCTCAATAAATATTTGCTAAATGAACTGAGTGAAGAGACAGCCAGGGTTAGGCTGCAATCCTGACTCTACTACTTCATAGTGGTCTGACTTCAGTTAAGCCACAGTATCTCTGAGCTTTGACTTTCTCTTCCATAAAAGAAAAGAAAGAGTACGTATCTGATAGGACTGTCAATAAGACCTACTAAAGATTAACTGGCAATAAATAAAGACTAATCATCAATTTTTCAATATAAGTATTAAGTACTTGTAACTAAATAAAACCTATTAAACATAATGTTAGTTTCCTTCCTTCCCTTCTGTAACTTAGTGAGAATTCCCTAAGCTAATAAAGTATTAAAACTATATATTTATACATACTTAAAAAGAAGAAACTCTGATGACATGTATTTGAATAGATACACAGATAATTTGTATTGCAGGATCTAATTCTAAATTTTAGAAAATGGCAATAAATAATATACATCTATTATTTAACTCTCTTATAAAGGGGGGAGGAGTGATGATAAGGAAAACAGAAGAAAAACAGAAAAGAAAGGTAACCTTAGAAATCAGAGATCATCAACTTCAATTCCTAAATTTAGAACTACCTTCCTTTACTTAAAAAAACTTGCAGCAAGAACAGAATATCTATTCTAAACTTCTGAAGTAAAAATATTCTCTATTTACCTAAATCTATATAATTCTCACTTAAATTTCTTGTATATTTTTACTTATCTTTCACCCCTTAAATTCTAGTATCATTGGTAAAATGTAAAAAAAAAAAAAAAAAGCAAAAAACTAACCTCTCATATCAGAAACACACAGGCCCTTTTGTTCCCTTAATATTTTAATAAGCTTTAAATTTTCTAACTACAAAAGTAAATCTTAACGTTTTAACTGCTGCTCACTTTTCAGGCTAACATACCTTTTATGTTCTTCAAAAAAAATTTTACTTTCTAGGAACCTTATAAATCATTTACCACACATCCTTCAAATCTCCTTCATACTCTATGTGGAATACAGCTAACAGTGCTTGTTTAATACTTTCTGCCTGATAACCACCTAGAATTTGTGGTATGTGCTGCCTACGTTCATATTCTCCCAAGGATATGGATATAATTTAGATTCTGAACTCAAGGAAGGGTTTATGTTAAGCAATTAGTTCAATTTTATTCAACATATTTTATGTAATCAAGCTTGACTTTTTAAGAAGTAATTGGTATCTGGTTTAGACTTTTCCCTCATGTTCGAGTTACTTCTATAACCTTTCTAAAATTGGAATTTCTTGTCTACCCTTAAACTAGTTATTAAGCGCTATTGAATGTTCCATCAAATTAATGGGAAAAGCTTCATCCATTAGATGTACGCAAGAATAAAAAGATCATTTTATGCTACCACAACATCTAGAATAGTACTGTGCACAGTAAGACTCCTGACTAATAAGCTGAAAGCCAGTTTAAGAATGAATTTTATCACAAGTCAATCAGTATATGCAAGGAACAGTTGTTACTGCTACGAAATGCTCTGGCAGCAAGCAACCAAAAATAACCATTTGCAACTCTTCAAGGTTATTGTAAAATGATATACAAACACAACAACAAACATTCTAAATTACTATTTTTTGTTTTTGAGACAGAGTTTTGCTCTTGTTGCCCAGGCTGGAGTGCAATGGCATAATCTCAGCTCACTACAACCTCCGCCTCCGAGGTTCAAGCAATTCTCCTGCCTGAGCCTCCCAAGTAGCTAGGATTATAGGCATGCACCACCACACTCAGCTAATTTTCATATTTTTAGTAGAGATAGGGTTTCACCATGTTGGCCAGGCTGGTCTCAAACTCCTCACCTCAGGTGATCCACCCGCCTTGGCCTCCCCAAGTGCTGGGATTACAGGTGTGAGCCACTGCACCCAGTTTCTAAATTACATTTTAAGGCTTCATTTTGGGTAATGTTTTTCAAGCTAGGGACTGCAATTTATTATCCAAAATAAATTTAATGGGTCTAGACCAGCAAACGATGAAGGGAAGGGTGAGAAAGAGGAGGAATAAATAGAAAACATCTTAGTGCACAGGTAATGAGGTTACGTACGTATTTCATTAACTTTTTTCTCCATGTACATAGTACCCTAAGCAATGTGTATTTTAAAGGTGGGTTTGAGTAAAAGTTAGAAAACACTAATGTGGGAGACAAACAGAAGTAGAAAGGATAAAGCAATGTAACCATCAGGGTTACCAAATTGTGGTTTAGGAGGTGAGCAAGACTGACAGCTTCTATTGACTAGGAGAGAGGTTTTGGAAACTCCCATAGATTTGTAAAAGCCAGATGTCCCTATGTGAAAAATAACAAAGTACTTTCTTTTCTTATAGTAAGCCTAGGACAATGAGCAGAAAAGCTTCTGGTTGCCACCACTGATGTTTTTATTCCTTCAAACTTCCCAAGGTGGAAGAGGTCAACCTTTACTCTCTCGTCCTAACTCTTGGGCACATTTAATGCAGTTAAGACACAGTAGCCCCTTGAAAGATAATTACTGGTCCTTGAACAACTACTTCTAAAAAACATTAACTGTATTCTAGATTACAATTTAGAGTTTCAGGTCACACTCTGGCATTCAGAAAAGTTAATTTAGAAGTATAACAGTCATACATCAGAGCCCACTAAATCATCTGGAGAGTAGTACCAAAATAAACAACAAAAATTTTTTTTTAAATATATGAAATGTTTCAAAAATCCGAAGCATACCTTAGAGTCATCTTGTTTTGAAAAGTCACTCTGAAGAACTAACATTGGAATTCTCTAAATCTTGGCCAATCAATCTGCTTTTCTTTGTTAACAGTGATTCTGAATATTCAGTGTCATTAATGTAGCTGATTATTTTTGAAGTCATTTAAAACGCATACACTTTTTACTGTATAGGGGAGAGTTTCATAAATTACAGCTAGTATCTGTTCTAAGAGGCTCAAGGCGATAGCTATTTCTCAGGATGTATCCACTACCCATTACAACTACTATATATTCTAAGTTACCCAAATCCCACTATTATTACAGAACCACATCCCCCCATACTATTGTTACAGCCCTTTTTCACTATTATAAATCCACATATGGTTAGAGACAGAAGAGGACAAAAAACATGCAGCTATAAAGAGAATTTCCCAGTTGCAAGGTGAAGGGTTCCCTTTAATCTCTTCTGATATAGTTTAATGTTCTGCCTGGTTCACTACCTCCTTTTTTCTTACACTTTGAAACTTGCTGTGGCTTGAGACATCAACCTTTGGCATAATCACCTGCTGGTTTTATAATCCGAGCGCACACTGTTGGAAAAAGGAGTTTTAGTCTTTGCTTACTAACAATTCTTCATGCTTACTAACAATTCTTCACTGAACACAAATTCCAAAAAGATAAAACTTTGATACGCACCTACCAGGAAGTCACTTTGTGTACAAGGGGTTCACAGCCTCTTATCCCTCGAGGCAAAAGACTTGTGGTTCAAACACTGATGACACAGGTATTAATGAAAGAGACCATTTATTTATCTATTCTGATCAAACATCCCAGAAATTCAATTCTTACTGTAGTAGAGGACAAAGCTGGACAACCCTAATCACTCTAAATTAAAGATACTTCTCAATTTCTTCTCTCTCCTGGGCCATTACACCAAACCGAGAGCAGAACTATACCCACCTTCAGGCCAGACGAAACAACGTAATAGCTTATTGATCTCTGGTGTAGACCCAAACCCACAAGTCATCAGGCAAGCAGGGATCACAGCCAGTTGACGAGGCTAACAATCAAAAGTAATGCACTGGTTTTGGTCCCACACAAGCACACCTTTGGCAATTGCCCGATCAAAAATGGACCAAACCACTATCTTCACCAAAACAAACAAAAATAATACTAACCAGGTACGGGAGCAATACACCCTGAATTGTACCAAAAGACCACTATTTCTTGGCTGTTGGTAAATGACCAATTATACTCATTAATTCTTCATTTAGTGACACTTGCCAGGTTTTAAAAGCCACCATCACATTCAATTCCGTAGATAAATGCATTCAAGAGATAATATTTGCCGACAAATTGCCTGTTGACCAAACCTCACCACCACCACCACCATTATACTAATTAAATCAGTGTTTGTGGCAAATGATGTAGGCTTTTTATAAGTAAAATTTACCAAAGTAACGATAACTTCTAATGATCTTTTTCTGAAGAAATCAAAGCAACACTCCAAAAAGGAAAGGTTAAAACTGAGCTCCTTGAAACACCTATTCAATGTATTTAACTGATGAATTAAGAATGGTGAAGTCAGAAGTGGAACTCAATTATCTTAAGAGATAAATGTTCTTTGCAATTAATTCCATTCAGCTCTTGCTTTGATCCCAACGAAATATAAAGCTGTCCTCACACAGAGTCTTCAGCCTTCTCTTAACCCGAAAGGAGTTACCTCTAACCCGATCCCTCGACTGGTATAAAGTAACAGTAACCACAGCGGCGGGCTATGATGGATGAAATGACAATTGAATTGGGAGTCAGAGCAGTTGTGTACGCCCTAAGAGGGACAGACCGAGGTGGGGCTGGAAACTATTTTCTGGCCTTCTCCCGCGTGCTGCTCCCGGGAAACCAACAGGATCCAGCACGCTCGGATTCAGCAGAGCCCTGGCCCCCGAGGTGGAGGGGTGGGGAAAAGGCAGCGGGGAGCCTTTTCAGGGAGTGGGGTAGGGCAGGGCTGGTGCAGGGGGAATCTCACTCGTGAGAGAACTTCCTAACCCCAGAAGGGGAGTGGGGGGGGGGCGGGTGGCAAGACCGTCCCGGCAGCGGCGGGGGCGACCTCCTTCGCTTTCTCACAGTCTTACATCTTTGTGTGGATTGTGCCGGGCTACGGGTCCTTGAGCAGCTGGCCGCGGGGGGCCTCGAGCCTAGGTCGGGAAGTCCACCCGCCACCCCCTGGCTCCGCCGGGCCCTCCTGGCCGGGACCCCCAGCCCCTCTCCACCACTCGAGTGTCTGGAGGTGGGCGAGCGGACGAAAGCATCTCTGTGCGGGGACAACCGTTCCGCCACCTCCACCCCCTCGCCGGTCTTTGTCCCGTCGGTAGCCAGGGTCTCCGCCGGAGTCCCCAGGGGAACCCCGGTCCTGGAGGCCTCGGGGCCCGGGTCGCCCCAGCTTTGTTCGGTCAGCTGGGTGCAGGGACGCGGACACTTACCGTACACCCCAGCGAGGAAAAGCAAGAGCAACGCAGACCTCCACCGCGGAGACTCTTTTGTGCTCCAGCGACGGGCCATAACCACGGCAGATGGAGGGAGAAAGGAGATGGAGAAGGAGGGAGGAGGAGCTGGGGCTAGACGCCGCCGCCGCCGCCGCCGAGCCCCCAGCTGCTCCCTGCGCTCTCCGCGGCGGCGGGAGGGGGAGGGGAGGGGCCGCCGCCGCCGCCGCCGCCGCCGCAGCCGCTTGCGCGCGCTCTCTCCCTCCTCCCTCCGGCCCTCCCTCAGCCGCACGCTCGCCTGCTCCCAATCCGGGCTGTGTGAGAACCCCGCGCGGGGCGGCTCCTGGGTACAAGAGCAAGGAGCTCCCGCGCCGGCGCCAGGCGAGGGGGTGGCGGACGCGGGACTCCGGCCTCGCACCGCTCGGGGTAGCTGGCGCCGCCACTCGCCAGACGGAGCGCGCGCTCATCCGTGCGATCGGCAATCCCCTGGCCCGCCTGCCTCGGTTCCCGCCCGGCGCTCTGCTGGACTTTCCAAGTCTCGGGCCGATTTCCCCGCGACTGGAGCCCAAGGAGCAAGGCAGCGCCAATCGATGAGCGAGCGCGCGAACGCCGGCCTCAGGATGCCCGGGGGCTGTAGCGCGGGGGCCGGTGAAGGAGCTGGGTCGCAGTTCGAGGCCTAGGTGCTGGCCAAAGGAGTGGGGTGGGTACGAGTTGGGAGGTTGAAAGTGTTTCCGTGTTGGGGGAGGCGTGGAGGGTCGGAGGCTGAGAACTTGAGAGTTCCTTCCTCTATCCCGTACCCAAACGTCTCCACTTGCGGTCGGCGCGGAGCTCGGAGTGGAGGTGGGCGCAAGTTAGTGCGGCCCACCCGGCAGCTGGTCGGTCCAGGGGCAGTGTGGATTCGCATGCTTAAGGTCCCCGGGATGAGTCGGGCAGGGTGTGTGCAGAGCCCCTGCAGTCTGGGGTGGAAGCTCAGGGAGGCCGTTTGACATCTCTCGCGGGGTGAGGGGTGCAGCAGGGCGGGGATGCTCGCTAGGGCTGGAGCTGACTTTGGGGGTAGATTAATGACAGGAGAGTTCGCCCATCACTCTCCAGTTTCCCTAAAGCTCTTCCCCAACTCCCGACATATTCGAGTCCTCCTTTACTTAGATCCCCAGAACACTTTTCTAAATACGTCTGTAGTAACGCTGGCACCTCAGACCTTCCGTCGTGTGTTTTTAAAGTGTTTGTCTACAGCATCTTATTTCTGTTAGATTTATGGTTGCCCTTTGCAAGCACTCTCCATGCTATTCATTGAAGACCTACAATACACTATGCTGTCCTATTGACATAGCTTATCCCTTTTTTAATCCCAAACATCCTTGTGAGATAAATATTACCCACGTTTCATAGAAAAAAGTTGGAGAGCTTAAAATACTAATGGCAGGTAAGTTGTCTGAAACAGTTTTTCTTATTCCAAAGTCAAGAGTGTTTCCCCTAAACCACAGCAAACGCTAGCACAGTGCTTAGTGCCCAGTAAGTAAATGTTAAATTTAAAACATACTTTCTGGGGAATACTTTTAGACTTTCCCTCTATCTCCTACCGATTTCCCCCCTTTTAATTTTTTTTTTTTTTTAGAGACGGAGTTTCGCTCTTGTTACCCAGGCTGGAGTGCAATGGCGCGATCTCGGCTCACCGCAGCCTCTGCCTCCTGGGTTCAGGCAATTCTCCTGCCTCAGCCTACCGAGTAGCTGAGATTATAGGCACACGCCACCATGCCCAGCTAATTTTTTGTATTTTTAGTAGAGACGGGGTTTCACCATGTTGACCAGGATGGTCTCGATCTCTTGACCTCGTGATCCACCCGCCTCGGCCTCCCAAAGTGCTGGGATTACAGGCTTGAGCCACCAGGCCCGGCCTAATTTTAATTTTTTAATCAGGAAATGGTATTCCAAAAGATACGAGAAAAAAAATTATTAATAAATATTACAAAAATTTAATAATTAACAAATCTTACCTGGCAAGAAAAAAAAAAAAGCAACCAGCAGTCCAAAAATGTTTTCCATTCTCATTGAAAAGAAGGAACTTCAGTGTTTTTCACTAAACAAATTACAGTTGCGTTTCCTAGTTTTAGGATTCTAAACTCCGCTTTGTTTCTTAAGATCTCTTTCTGTAAATTGCACTGCCGTGACAGCTGGGTTAAGAACAGGTCACAAGCAAAGTGAAGAAGTAGACTGGACTGCGTCCTCCCCTGTCCACTTTTATACCATTCAAGGAACTCTATCCCCAGCACGAAAACACACAGGGCTCTCATCAGTCGCTTTTACACCCCTCCCACCCCTATACTGGCTCATTCACCCAAATATGTCTTCTCACACTTGCCAGGTTATCAAACTTCTGGGTATCTGGACCCCTATAACACTTAAAATTTGGTTAGGACACCAAAGAACTTTTATTTATGTGGGTCATATCTGTTGATATTTACCATTTAGAAATTAGAAAAAAAGTAAATCCATTTAAAATAAAAAATGCATTATTAATTTACGTAATTCTGCTTTCTAAAACAAACACAAAAAAAATTAGTAAGAAGAGTGGCATTGTTTTCCACTTTTATAAATCTCCCTAATGACTGGTTTAATAGAAGACAGCTGGATTCTCATATCTGCTTCTGCATCCAATCTGTTGCAATATGTTGTTTTGGTTGAAGTATATGAAGAAAATCTAGACTCACACAGATATATAAATTGGCAAAGGGAGGACCTCATGTACTTTTCTGAAATAGTCAGTGACACCCCCAATAACCACCCTACCACCAGAAAAACTTTGAGAACTGTAGATCTAGGTGTCTGTCTTAAGGCCTTCAAAACCTAAGTATTCTGTTTTTTATTAGAAGGTGTCTAATAAGTATTCAGTGTTCACCAGTGAAGGGTATTTAAATTTTATGGGGGAACATTTTTGTTTATTGAAAATTCTAGTTGGATATCAGATATTGATAAGTATCATAGCACAGAATAGGTACTCAATGTTACTTCCCTTTTTGTCATCTAATCTACCTTAGCTGGCCATCTGGGTTGATAACACCAAATTGTTTATCTGTGAGAAAGCACTTTGAAATCCAGAAAACTATAGCTAGCAGTGGTTAATATTGATAACAATTGCATTGCAGTTTTGCTTGGCCAGTGTTCTGATCTACATGATTTAAAGCATAAATCATGCCCCTGAGACCCATATCATTCTTACTCTGAGTCCTCTGGATCCACAGATAGGCTTCAAAGAATCTCTTAAGCCTTCTGAAATTATATGAAGATTTTGTGTTCATGTACTATTATAGACAGAAGACATTGTTTTCAGCAGATGCTTAAAGGATTGTCTCTGCCATTTTCTTTAAAGTTTAAGAAAAACTGAATGAGGCAACCATTTGAGCTGCTGCTTAATCCTTTTCCAAGTCGTTTTGGAGCTCCTCAAGTACATGCAGTTGGGAGTGGAGTAGTACAGGGACTGCTTCTTTTTCCCTTGATATATCTTGAAAAGGGCTACAATTCCACTATATGGGAACATCCCCTTAAATAATCAATCCTTTTGTTTGATTTTAAACTTCTCTTTTTTCCTTGTTTGGTTATCATCACATATAATGGTCTAATTTTTACTTGTCACCAATTAAAATTTGTTCCATCTCAATGTAGATGCTGCTTCATTTAGTAGTGTTTGAGAATCTCATCAACACTGAGGTTAGACTGGGGAGCATTATCACTCCCACTCCAAGAATCATCTTTTATTGGAAAGAAAATTGATGATAGTTGGTTTTCTATTTGGCATGCTGCCAGAGAAAGTTAAATCTTTTAACTCCCCCTCAAAGGAATATTATGTTTTTAAAAGAAAAACAAACTTGAAAAAAAGCATGTAAGTAACTAAAAGAAAGACAGTTTTTTAAGATTGAAGTTAAATAAATGAGATCCCTTTACAAGTGAATTATAATTTCCATTGGAGCTGAATAATATAGGCTAGCAAATGAGAACCATCAATCTAGGTAACTTCTTTATCAGTTCACTAGCACATTTATTGTGGTTAAATATTCTGGGCTGTGACAGCATACCCAGCATTGTACCAAGTAGTCAAAGATGTAATCCTGGCTCTAAATTAAATAACCCCAATTCAAATAGATTTAGTTTTACCCTCATAAACTCGACTTAATTGTAAAACCAGACCACAGAGCATGCAATAACTTATAGTGGCAATAGCATCTAGCTCTTGTAGGCATATAAAACAATTGCCCCCACAAAGAAAAAAGAAGTAAAGGGAGCATTAACTACAGATATTGGTATATATAAAGAGATACTCTGAGCTTTTTTGTTGTCATTTAAGTGCTAAGTTTCAAAATGCACATAACTTTGTGTTTAAGTTCTCATGATTGATGGAGGATATGAGCTAGAAGTGTAGGTAGGATGAAATATCATTCCATATCTCCCCATGAGCCCATCAGAAATAAATTTGGCAGCTGTAATGGCAACTCGATGGCTCTTTATGGGGAAATATTGCTAATTTCAGGCATATATAACTTATTTGTTTGTGTTCTTCTTAAATCCAGAAAAGATTTGACATTCCCCAGTATATTTGGCAAATATAGTTATCCTTTGGTATATGTGGGGGATAGGTTCCAGGACACGTCTCTCTTCCGTATACCAAAATCCATGTACACTTAAGTCCAGTGGACTCTATGGAACCAGAACCCACCCATATAACCGCAACCCTCCTATATGTGGGTTTCGCACCATCAATATTTGATCCATGTTTGGTTGAAAACAAAATCACATAATAAGTGAAGGATGCAAGCACTTCAAACCTGTGTTATTCAAGGGTCAACTGTCCAGTATACTGTAGTGGATAAAGGCTTATATGGTTTGGATTCATGACCCCACCCAAACCTCATGTCCAGTTGTAATCCCCAGTATTGGAGGAGAGGCCTGGAGGGAGATTATTGGATCATTAGGGTGAATTTTCCCCTTGCTTTCCCTGCAGTATAGTAAGTGCATTCTCATGAGATCTGGTTGTTTAAAAGTGTGTAGGGTCTCCCCTTTCACTCTCTTCTTCCTGCTCCAGCGATATAGGATGTCTCTGCTTCCTCTTTGCCTTCTGCCATGATTGTTAGTTTCCAGAGGCCTCCCCTGCCGTGCTTCCTGTACAGTCTGTGGAACTGTAGGTCAATTAAACCTCTTTCCTTTATAAATTACCCAATCTTATAGCAGTGCAAGAATGGACTAATACAAGATATAAGCCTCAAGAGTTTAACCGTGCTGGGTTTGATCAACCTTAGTAAAGAACCTAACTTCTTGTACCTCATATTCCCTCCTATAAAATGGGGAAAATATGGGATCTTCTTTGATCATCCACATACCTTGAGATAATAATTGCTAAAATATATTGAATTCCTATGGTATGCTATGAATTCAGTCCTCAAACAGTCCTATGATTTTGATAGTATGATTATCCCCATTTTTCAAAAGAACAAACAGGCACAGAGATATTTGGTAATTCTCTCAAGATCATAGTAAATGGAGAGCATTTACACTCAGGCAGTTTGACTTTAGAGCATGCTCTCTTAATCATTTTGCCAAGTTGTATATAAAGCACTTAATACACTTCCAGGCACCTAGGAGGTACTCAGTAAATAGCAGCTACTGTTATTCAACATATAAATGACATAAGCAAGATGATCCTATTCTCTCATATCATACACTTTAAAATAAAATCTGTATGGTTATTCTCCTCTGTTTTCCGGAAACAACCATACTAACTTGAATTCTGTTTAAGCTAAATAGACATAAGCCTCTTTTAGATTTATATTTTAAAGTTTTATTTCCTTGAATTTTTGAAAGTAGCAAGTGAATATAAATTAGATGAACCAGAAGCCTGGCTTTTTGCTGCTTGTAGTTTTTTTCGTTGACCTTGGAGTCAGTATTTATAGTTTCCTTTGAAGATCAGAGAACCCTTGGTTGCTTATTGCCTTAATCTTCGGAAAAGATCTATGACATTTTTTCTGATCTCAAAGAATACATCAAATCATATGAAACTGCTCAGTTATCAGGCCATGAAAACACGGGTCATTTCTACCAAAGAATAGATTACTCCAGCTTCATCATGAAAAGAATATTCTCCTTGGAAATACCCAAGCAGGTTTGCATTTTGAATACATACCAGCTGTGATGGAAAAGAATAGTCTAAGCCTTTCAATTCCCAGAGTCCACTGCCTCACTTGCACAGAACAGGACATGAAAGAAATTGTGTCAAAAGCATTTCAATATAAAAATTTTATTCCTGTACTCAATGAAGTGAATTAAGTGAAAAAAGTTAAGTACCTTAGAACATTGTATTGGCTGGTCACCAGTGCACTTAACTCCAGCCACTACAATGTGTTTTTTCTATGTAATTAGTAGCTCAGTTTAAGTACAAACACGCATCAGATGGTAACTCCAATTTATAAACACTCATATATACATAATTTCATAAAATACTTTCGGTTTTTAAATGCATAACTTTAAGGCAATTAGTGGCAATGAACAGTTTTTAAATTGTATAACTTAAAGGCAATTAATGGCAATGAACCTGCTATTTGGAGGTTACCTTAGCTGGCCTGTGAATGGGGAAGAAAGGGCAAGCCCCAGAGCAGCTGTGCCACCTATGTTCCTTCTGGGATAGATTCTCAGCAGTTCTAATCTTCAGCACTCCAGAGACCAGGATATATAGGCACCAAGCTCCTCTGGACATTTTGCCCTTTTTCATTGCCTCAGACAGACAGAAGCAGTCACCCAGACTGCCTACCATGTACACTTACTCTTCCCCACTCCCATCCTATCTTTCTGTTCAGTGGATGATGTCTTTCAAGAAGTCTGTTCTTACAGCATTGGCCACGCTCATTAAAATAGTTGACCAATTTCCCTATAGCCTCCTTCTGTTACAGGCTCCTCCTGCTGGCAAGGCACGTTGTGGACATTCCTCATAACTGAAAAAATAGTGTTAAGAATTGAGACATGGACCTCTCTCTGAAGATAAGAGAAGTACTCTGAATTCACTTATCCATATCTTTTTGACTGGTGCATTTGCAGATGTGGGGAGTAGAATCAGAATATTCAGATTCTCCTGTCTTCATTGAGGAAGAGAAATAAGGAATGTGAGGAGAGAAGGCTCAGATAGACAGAGACTTTTGTGTTTTGTTCACTGGAAGCAACTGGAAGAGGGCCTGTCACCAAATAGATGTTCGGTAAACATTTATTCAGTGAATGAATAAAGAATCTCAGGAATTAAATAGATTATTGGGGAAAAATGAGAAACAAAGCTATTAGACAGGGGTAATGCATTGGAGAGAGAGAGAGAAAGAGCGAGAGAGAGAGAGAGAAATAAGGAAAGAAAGAACAGATACCTGTCTGGACATTAGTGTCCAAGTAGCCTGCAGTGAAAACTGCTAGGTTTGGAGCCTAGGCACAAAGGGAGTGAATCTTTGATGCCTAGTCTTAGGAACAGCCAATGAATACACTGCAGGATGAAACTCACATATTTTCATTTGCTGATATTCAAGATACTGCTTAATGAGGGTTTTTCAAAACATGAATCTGGTATTGAAGCCATAGTTTTCTATTATTTTATTGTCAATGTTTAATATTTCCTTTATACTAGGTTGTAGGCTTTTTATAGCCACAGCTGGCCTTATACGACCTGTGAGTTGGATACTACTTATTTTATTGACTATTAAACAGGATTTTTTTCTGTAACTCAGCAGAAACCCTTAGAAAATAAGTATTTCAGAACGTTCTTCAGAAAGCTGTGAGCTAACACTTTGCTTCAGATGTGCAAACAGATTCCAATTCTGTTGTCTATCAAGTTAAACTGTTCCTTAGAATTAGTCTAAGAGGTGATGAAATTAATGCCCAGTGTGAAGTCAGGATCAGGGAGCAGAGAAGGGAATCCAGATGGCCAGACCTTTGCAATGTGAATTCAAAATCTGTTCAATGCATTATGAATTTCTGGCCATCAGTCACCAACATAAGAAAATGATAAGTGTAAAGAGCACTTAACTTTGAAACTCCAAAGTAAATTATCTTTATTATTCATCATTTGCTATTACCAACATTGTCTTCTATCAGTATGTATTTGCTGAAGTTGAGAGTTCAGCAAAATAAAACCAGTTCTCTAAAAATTAACTAGAATGTTACCGAGATTTTATTCATAATCCGCTCTATATTTTTGAATACTTGAAATATGCTCAAGATTGTAGACAATGTAGATGTTCACATTACCTGACTCAATCACCAAACTGTGGAGGTTCTACTCTGTCAGGCTAGTCATTGCAGATACAACAGAGCTTATAATCTAGTGGGGGAAACAGACATATCAATAAATATAAACAACATTCATTCAATAAGTATTTATTGAGCACCTACTATGTGCCAGTCATTGTTCCAAGTGCTGGGACTGTTCAGTGAACAAACATGGTAACAGTAGAGATACAAACGTGTAACATACATCAGAGCCATAGGGAAGAATTACAGAAGTTTTCACAGAGGAAAACCACCTGATTTCAGAAAGGAAGAATGAATAGAAGACTGCCAGTAAAGAAGGAGATTTGCGAGGGGTAATGGAAAAGCATTGAAGCTAGAGGGACATCAAATAGAGATAGGAGAGGAGAACAGGGTGTGTTCTAGGAATATAAAGTAGTTTGGTATTGCTGATTCCATAGGGGTGGGGGAAGGTGAGGAAATCAAACTATAATCAGGAATTACATCACCAAGGATTATAAGTGACATGCAGATAAGTGTAGTTTTATTTTGTATGATGCAGGCTGTGGAGAGACTTGAAAGGATTTTGAGCAGAGGAGTCAGGCTCCATTTTGACGGAGCTCAGAATGAGAGGAAAAGGAAAGGTGGAGATCAGTCAGGAGGAGGCTACAGACCGCACTGAGGAGATGAGATGAACTGAGGAGTGCCCAGGAGCAGTACTATGGGGAGTAGAGAACACAGTCAATGGTTGTGTAACAGATAGAATTTAAGACTCCCACATTTCTAGTTTGAGCAACTAGATGGAGTGAAGTGGGGAGAAGAGGACAGGGAAAATATTGAGTGTAACTTAGAACCATCACATTCAGGTAAGGAAATTCAATAGGCAGTTGGGTATACTGTGTATTTCAGAGGAGAACAATAGGCTGAAGGCAGAAAATGACTGGCATTGGTAAGATTGCTTCCGGAGAGGATGAAGTGTCCCTTAGAGAATATGGAAAACAGGCTCAAGCCTGTAATCCCAGCACTTTGGGAGGCTGAGGCGGGTGGATCACGAGGTCAAGAGATCGAGACCATCCTGGTCAACATGGTGAAACCCCATCTCTACTAAAGATACAGAAAATTAGCTGGGCATGGTGGCGCATGCCTATAATCCCAGCTACTCAGGAGGCTGAAGCGGGAGAATTGCCTGAACCCAGGAGGCGGAGGTTGCAGTGAGCCAAGATCGCGCCGTTGCACTCCAGCCTGGGTAACAAGAGCGAAACTCCGTCTCAAAAAAAAAAAAAAAAAAAGAGAGAATATGGAAAGCATCAGTATTGCAGAGGGCAGAGGTGGTGCAGAAAAGGAACCGACAACAAGAGGAGAGAGAGAAGGTATGGCCAGTGGGTGGAAAGATATGAAGAAAAGTCTGGTATCACAGACACCAAGCAAAGAAAAGTTTACTAAAAGAGGAAAGGTAAAGTGTGTCTGTGCCAAAGAGAACTCAAGTAATAAAAGGTCAAAATGTGAAGAGGAACTAACAAAATTGTCTACAAGAAAGTCTAATGTTCTTATTGGAGGCCTCTACAGAAATCTCTTTGGCCTTTGATATAGATTAGAGCTGAATTCTTGGTGATCTTTATTTTTTTTTTCTGATTTCATCAAGAGTTTTGTCCTTTTTTTTTTCCTCAGCCTGTTAGATTACAGCATTATCCATTTTGAAGTTAAACAGAAGGATTTCTAAATTCGGCATGGACCCTGGATACAACATTGAAGTATGTAAAGTTTTTCTTCACCACCCAATGGTTCCTTTTTTATTTCCCCTCTGTTCTCCCCAGCCTTGTTTACCTTCTTTTCCTTCAACTTCAGGCTCCCAATATACTGAAGCTTTCTTACCCTCTCCCCCCATCAGAAATGATTCCTGGCAAAAAACATAAAACAAGCAAACAAAAACTTTATAAACAAATCCACCTCGAAGCTACATATGGCTATTCTTCTAGAGTATTTATAATTTAATGGGTTGTTAATGCAAGTGTCAGGGTGTACTTTCAGTGGGTTGGGGAGACATTCATGGTCAGGGATGTTTCCCGATTCCCCTCTAAGGTGACCCCTTACTGCACAGCAATCCTTCCCTGAGACAGAAGACAAGTCAGTGCAAGAATGCCTAATTATTTCTCCTAGAGCCACACTAAACCTTTAGAAGACTTAAAGGTCACAAACATTTATTATATCGGTAATGTTCTTTTTGGAAATTATATTTTTGGCTGATAGTATTTCAATGTACTCAGTTGCTAACATAATAGCCAAAGAACATGTATCCTTTATCTTGTTTAATGCCAATTACTCTGTCACTATTTTCCTTGGCACTACTGGAATAACTTCCAATGTGGTATGGGACAGACAAGTTCAGCTCTATAGAGGCCAAAAATATCTGTGTCTACTAATCAGCTGTTCCCTATTACCTTTTTTAAACAGTATTATTAACTGACTTCCGTACAGCCAAGTAGTTTGATCATGCTTCTAATTTAATTCAGTTGTTTGGAAAGGGAAAACAATCTCGTTAATCATTTTTAAGATTCATTTTATGTGTGCAGTAAGTATAGACACCATGTTTCCTAAAACAGTCTCTGCTGAAGTGCTCTGATTGGAAAAAAATAATAGCTCAGCAAGTGAAAAATTTTATTGTCATGAACTTCACTTTTAAAAGTAAAGGTAAATGACAAGGATTTGCCTATTCTGATATGCAATGTAAAATTATATTAACTTTTGTTCAGTGTATCCTTTAAAATGTGTTATGGTTTCATGGATATGTTTGTATAGCATGTAAATTATTTATGCTCTTAATCCTTTATTTACATTTAAGCCTTGGGGAACAAGGTTTCTAACAAATGCACTGTGTAAAAATATTCTTTTGCCAAAAGAGAGGAGGAAGTGTACAAACTCAAAGCTATTTCAACCATCAAAGCCCCATTATCAGAGGCATGTGTGGACCAGCGAGCTCGTCCTGGACAGAATGCTCGGTCTCATGCTCCTCACAGGCAGGAAGCAGTGGATTAGCAATGCTTTCCGTTTAAATTAAATTTGTGTTGTGTAAGAAATGCAAAGGAAAATCTTTAGTACATCCCTTAATAGTCTCACTAGAATAGATTGGGTGAACTGATAATGACTATGGTATTTAAGGAAAAGTACTCTCTAAGAAATAGAAGCATTACTCCAAACGAATGATGAGAAATTTATTATCAGAAAAGAGAGCTAGGCACAGAAATGCAGGAATAGAAATAATCTACTCAGGACCTGGTGTGATTGTATTTTCTCTGAGGTGTTGTCAAGGACCATTAAGCAGAAGAGGCATTTATAGAATCCTAAGACTGTCAGAACTGAAAGGGTCATCTTTAGTCCAATCTTCTAATTTTACAGGTGAGAAAACCCAGGCCCATTTTTAAAAGGGTAATAATACCCTGTGAATTCTGTCGAGGGACAGGCATTCTTGGGGAAATGGGGACCTAGAATTAAACCTTGGGTAGAGGTGGGGGAGGAAAGACAGACTGGTTTTCAGAAAGGAAGCCCAAACTCCCAGAAAAGAGAATGGCACAAAGCCAGACACAGTGGCTCATGCCTGTAATCCTAGTACTTTGAGATGCCAAGGCAGGCGAATTGCCTGAGCCCAGGAGTTCAAGACCAGCCTGGGCAATGTGGCCAAACTCCGTCTCTACTAAAAATACCAAATGTTAGCCAGGCATGGTGGCAGGTGCCTGTAGTCCCAGCTACTTGGGAGGCTGACTGAGGAGAATCACTTAGACCCGAGAGGCTGAGGTTGGGCAACAGAGTGGTACTCTTGTCTCCAAAAAAAGAAAGAAAGAAAAAAAAGGAAAGCTTATGGCATATGAAGGGCTGAGATGTGGCGGGAGTATTTCAACAAATGGATAGCACATAGCTGTTACTAGGAGGCAGTCTGTTAGCACATGTACATCTAGGTAGGTATGAACCCTGAGCAGATAGATGGGACCTTAGTTATTCATCTTCAATCAGAGGCAGATGCCCTGCCCCTAGAAAGAAGGGAAGTCTAACAAGAGCAAGACGAGGCTTCAATCCCAGAAAGACTGGGATGCCAGTTAGGTTAAAAATAGATAATCAGCATCATTAGACTGGATGTTCAAGGTGAGTATTACAGCCTTAGAGCAAGATATATTTCTAATACTGGTGCACAGGGTCAGAGCTCATAGAAACAAAGTAGAAAAATGGTGTGTTCCAAGATGCTAGGGTAGAAGCCTCCACATTCTTCTTAAGAGAAGGATTTTTCTAAGAAACTCTAGGATGTGGAAATTCAGTGGTTCCAGCTGTGAGAATAGGGTTTCAAATCCCATGAAAGTACATTTAGACACTTAGAACATCCCAGACTCAGTTTAAAGCAATTTTTGTGCATTATCAGGTTACTTTTCACATTTAATAGATGTCTTAGTCAATTCAATTTGCTATAAAAAGACTGTAGACTAACTAGATAGTAAACAATGTATTTCTCATAGCTCTGAAGGCTGTGAAGCCCAAGATTAAGATGCTGGCAGATTCAGTATCTGTTGAGGGATTGCTTCTTTGTTCACAGACAGCAGTCTTTTTGCTGTAACTTCACATGGTGGGAGAAAGTGAAGGAGGTCTCTGGGGTCTCTTTTGTAAGGACCGTAATCCAATCTATGAGGGCTCTTCTCTCAAGACCTAATTACCTCCCACAGGCCCCACCTCCGAATACCATCACATGGGCATTGGGATTTAACATATTAATCATGAGTGGGGAGAAGATACAAACATTCAGTCTAACTCAGTAGATGAACCTAATCTAGGGATTTTACTGTAGCAATTCTCAAATATAACTTGTATTAGCAACATAGGAATAAAGGAGTAGAAGAAAACTTGTTCTTTAATTCCTCATTAATAATATTATTTGTTCTCATACATGAATTTAATAACAACTTTGAATAGTGCCTCTTGATTTTATTTCAAACAAAAAGAGAAAAGTGAAGAATAATGAAAATGTAATTAGAATACTATACAAGATTTCAGATAAGTGGAATAATTTGTGTTCTTTGAAAATTAATGTTATTCAGTTCAGCATTTGCTTAGACCCTACCCTGTGAAGGAGCTTTGGACTGAAGGTTAACATGGTGTGATAGTTAATGTTATATGTGGTACCCAGTTGTTTGGTCAGAGACTAGTTTAGCTGTTACTATAAGGATTTTTTAAAAAATACATAATTAGCATTTAAATCAGTAGACTAAGTAAAGCAGATTACCCTCCATGATATGAATGGGCCTCTTCCAATCAGGTAAAGGCCAAGACCGAGGTTTCCTGAGAAAGAAATTATCCTCAATATGGCAACACAGAAACTTTTCATGAGTCTCCATCCTGCTGCCTTGTGGAATTTGGACTCAAGACTGCAACTTCAATTCTTGCCTGAAATTTCAGCCTGCTGACCTGTCCTACAAATTTCAGATTTGACAATCTTTACGATCACATGAGGCAATTTCTTAAAATCAATCTCTATCTAGCAATATATTTATCATCTATTTATCTATCCTTTTGGTTCTGTTTCTCTGGAAAACCCTGGCTCATGCATATGGCCTATTTTCACACTGAAAGTCAGTCAAATGCAGAAAAATCTTCAACACCTAAAGTATAATAGATTGGTATGGTTAGGCCAGAAGCATTTGGATTTCTTTTTTAAGTGTTGAAAGGAAAACAGCACATCTCAATACATTGTACTTCAATTTCCCATGCCAAGACTTGATTGGTTTCATCTAAATTTGAGTCACAATAAATCTTGCATCTACTGAATCTCTGTCATTTTTCCTTTCAGGAGTTATTTAAGCCAAGTTTTAGTAAGAACATGTGAAAATAAAAGTGAGACCATGGCAAATAGGAAAATCTGATAATTTGAAGGGCCCTTGGATCAGTAGCTTAGATCATCATTAATTATACCAAGCATTTATTTTTAACATGGTATCAAGTTAAGCAACTGTTTTGTTGTTTGCCATCAATTAAAAAGCATTTAAGTAAACCATGGATTTAAAAAATACCTTTTCCATTTGTATTTTTATGACTTCTTAAAAGTTGATTGTAACCTAATAGGATCTTCAATTCTCACTTACTGGTTTTATAAATTGGATACAGAAAAATTAAATGATTGTGAGTAGTGATTTATTCTCAACCAACAGCCAGACTGAATTTTTGTAAACATGTCAAGTCATGTTAGCCTACTCAGAAATGTCCAAGGACTTCCTAACTCTCTTTGAGAGAAACTAAAATTCTTTCAAGTCATACAAACCACCCCTTGAGGTAGACCATCCTTCTATGACTCCAGTTACCACTTTAACTTCATCTCCTAGCATTGTCTTCCTAGTAAGAACAAGATAGAAGGAGAGAGAGAGAAAAAAAATTTTTTTAATGAATTGTCTCATGCAATTACGGGGGCCAGCAAGTCTGAAATCTGCAGGCCAAGCTGGCAGGCTGGTGACTCAGGGAAGAATTGGTATTGAAGCTTAAATCCAAAGGTAGAGGCAAAATTCTCTCTACCTGGGGGATCTTCAGTTTTTGCTCTTAATGCCTTCCACTGATTGTATTAGGCTCACCTACATTATGGAGGCTAATTCGCTTTACTCAAAGTCTACTGATTTAAATGTTAATCTCATCTAAGTGTGACATGGTAAAAAGCCCCATAAAACTGCATACCTCAACCATACCTCAGCTCTCTGTTGAAAGTGCTCTCTGTGTCCCCAAATGTGAATAAGTAATTAAGGACTGTAATTGCCACAATCAGAATGTCAAAAGTCCCCTGGCCCTCGGAGTGTCCGGAGCCCCTCACCCTCATCTCCGCCCAGAAAGTGATTTACAGAATCCACTAGCCCCCAGGACATCTGAAGCCCCTCACCCCCACCCCCGCCCCTCACCCTCACTCCCAAGGTGATTTTTACTGGTATGAAAGGTCTTGACACCCTCCTTTCGGACAGGTTGGAGAGATGCGAGTCCTCTGCAGCCGCCGGCAATAAAGACCCTGCAATTTGGCATACTTTTGTCTTGGTGTTGACTTTCTACACTCGGGCCAGTACAACATAAGAAATGCTTTCAGGCCGGGCGCGGTGGCTCAAGCTTATAATCCCAGCACTTTGGGAGGCCAAGGCGGGTGGATCACGAGGTCAAGAGATTGAGACCATACTGGTCAACATGGTGAAACCCCGTCTCTACTAAAAATACCAAAAATTAGCTGGGCATGGTGGCGCGTTCCTGTAATCCCAGCTACTCAGGAGGCTGAGGCGGGAGAATTGCTTGAACTCAGGAGGCAGAGGTTGCGGTGAGCGAGATCGCACCATTGCACTCCAGCCTGGGTAACAAGAGCGAAACTCCGTCTCAAAAAAAAAAAAAAAAAAGAAATGCTTTCACAGCAGCATCTAGACTAGTGTTTGACAAAATATCTAGGTCAAGCCCAGCCAAGTTGACACACAAAATTAACCATCACAGTGTTATTAAGTGAAGAAAGGAGAATAGAACTTAAGAGGAAATGGAAAGGAGGAGAGAAGAAGAATGGTACAGAAGCAGTAATGGGGAACCAAGGGTTATGTATTTCATATATAGTCTGACTTAATGCTGAGTCAATTTGCTACTTAACTAGAGAGTTTTATTGTCCTGTTACATAAGAATTAGATTGGCTCCTGAATCAGGAACCAAAGTAACCAGATAGGTGTAACACAGTCTTCAGTTATTAGAGCAAGTTAGGGCACAATAGCTCAGATCATTGACATTCTAGCCATATATGTTGAATATACTTGCTTAATTGTTATAATGCTTTGCCTCATTTTTTCTCATAACACATATAAAATACTACCAACTTCACTACAGCAAATAGGACTAAATATGTCATTATATAATCTATGATATGCTAGCCTAGCATATCAAATTAGTCCAACAAGAAGTTACCATCCTGATTTTTAGTGTTACATTATGCTACCTATACATTATCCATTTTTAGCTCCAGATATGTGAATATTTTTGTTATGATTATGGTGAAGACCACCCATGGACTAAGTCTGGTTTTCTTAGAAATATGTGTATTTCCTATTACACAGTTGCTATTTGACAAACCTACTAAGCAGAAGTTGCTATTTGGCAAACCTTCCTAGCAGAAGTGTACAGATATGAATCCAATGACCTTTTCTCTTCATTTTGTGATCTTTTTGACAAATTCATCGGTAAAGGATTTTGTTACGGTCATGTATTTTTTCTATTTCACTGTTGTTTTTGTTGTTTCCTGTTTCTTTAGAGTATGCTTTCTTCTTGCTTCTCCTGGTCAGGCTTGAGATAGGAGCTTCTTTGATTATTACTCCCTTTTAATTATTATTTGAGCAGTGATTTTTTTTTAATCAAAAGTTACTTTTGCAGAATACTCATAATAACCACCATTTCTTGACTACTCAATCTTCTCTTTATGCATAGGAATATTGTTAATATTCATAATTTTGACAATTGAGGTAACCAAAGCTTGAGAGATGGAGTAACTTATATAAGATGTCACAACTAATAAATGGCAGGGAATGATTTGAACCCATCTGTTAGACTCTGAAGCCCTTGTTCTTTGCACTTTGTCATGCTGCATACACTAGCTCATTTTATCTTTTAAGCAATAACAAGTGCTGACGCATTCTGAACACTTAATACGTATCTGTTTTACACAGTTGACATATATTATCTCTTTTAATCCTTAAATAGCCTTACAAGATAGGGACTATTGCTATCTTTCCTTTGTAAAAGAAGAAATGGAAGCACAGGAAGGATAAGTAACATACCAACATGTATATCTATGTGACACGCCTGCACATTCTGCACATGTACTCCAGAACTTAAAGTATAATAAAAAAACCATAAAAGCCGATAAAACAGCTCATGAAGCTGAAAAAAAAGAAAGAAAAAAGATAATGTGCCAAAATCAGATAACTAGTTTCTGGTGGAGTTGGGTAAATAAAGGAGATGTCATTATGATTCCCATTTTACAGAAGAAGAGACAGATTCAGAGAGATCAATGATTGGCTCATATTTACAAAGCTGGTAAGTGGCGAAATTAAGTCTCATTGCTCTTCTGGTTTCAAATTTAATGGTTTAACAAGAGTAGTATAAAATTATTTTTTAAAAAGTAGAGTTTTTAGTGGTAATTGAAGGATAAAAGAGCTGTATAATGAGAACTCTAAGCATTTCCTGTACATAAAACTTAAATTAAGTGAATGGAAGTAAGAGATGCAGAGGAAACACATTAAAAACACTAAATAACCCTTTCACACCATGAAGAATAACTGTGGGCCACTGAGGAAAAGCAATAAAAGACAGCCCAACCAAGCATGCAGAAATCAGAAATTAGATTACTCTTTGAAAAGAGATGTAACTAGCAATTGTAAAGATATTTTTAACTCTTTGCATTAAGGGGAACCATTTAACTCTACATCTTTCTTTTCCTTTTCACCATTTTTTTTAAGTTACATAATCTTGTAGAAGAGATATATATATATATATTTTATTCTTTTAGCATTCTGTACACTGACAACAGGTAAAAGAAAATGACTGAAACTTAAAACGTGAAAGAACATTTCACAATTAAATCCACAATTGTAAACATCTTACTCACATGTCAGTGAAAAATCACCAATTATTATAAAAACAGGACAAATTACATTGCAAAAGAAGCAAAAATTAGAAAAAAATTCATAAAAAAATATATCCAACTATGAAAAGTGTTGCTCTCTTGGTGTCTTCACATCCTTCTCTTCTGTGTACTGATGTACAACACATTGTTTCCTCAGATAAATGCGTCCCCATACTTATTCTTCAGTTGTCCATTTACATATTCCTCTGTCTGCTCCAGGGCTATATTCATGTAGCCATCCAGGCAAGCCAGGACCCCTCGATAATCCACTCCAGAATTTAATTTTACCACAACTGGTCGTCTAATGATTTGCTTTAAGAAGTTACTAGGGGTTTGCTTCTGAAGACTCATTTTAACAATCCTCGTCGGCGGGATCCAGCCTTTTCACCATTTTTAATAGACAAATCACTTTGGTCACTTCTTTCAACATTTGAAATGCAAGCAATCATGACTTCATCAGTATTGTGCTGTGAAGTTTGTAACACAAACTTAAGACCTGAAAGAATCAATTTTAAACTTCAAGTTCCTCCTCATTTCTATTTTTTTTAAGGAGTGAATGTAATTATTTATTACCAACAGTGAGTATCAGCAGTAAATGAATTTTCATTTAAGGCAGAACTTGTCCTCAGTTCTAATTATCTGAGTAATGTGCTATGATCACTAGTAGCCATGGCAAACTTGCCAAACTTTCCAGACTAGCAAACTCTGCACTCATTCAATCACATGTCCTATGGGACAACAAAATTTAAGACAAAGGAACAATAATAACATAGAAATTTATACTTGTTTAGAAAGTCAGAGTTTAATTTTAAAACACTTTAAATATTATGAACAGTAAAATGAGGGGATTATGAGTCTGGTGGAGATTGGGTGAAATAATGCAATTACCCATCTGAAGGAATCTGTGTTACTAAATTTATATCATTGCTCAATCACTCCATGTGACATGGAGTGTATTTTTTTTAACATTTATTTGAGGTCCAGAAGCACATGTGTAGGTTTTGTCATATGTGGTTTGGGACCTCAAATAAAAGTTTAAAAAAATACATTTGCAGGGTGATACGGTTTGGCTCTGTCTTCACCCAAATCTCGTCTTGAATTATAGCTCCTATAATCCCCACATGTTATGGGAGGGACCTGGTCAGAAGTAATTGAATAATGAGGGCAGGTGTTTCCCATGCTGTTCTGGTGAGAGTGAATAACTCTCATGAGATCTAAAGGTTTTACAAAGGGCAGTTTCCCTGCATATGGCCTCTTGCTTGCTGCCATGTAAGATGTTCCTTTACTCTTTCTTCACCTTCCCCCATGATTGTAAGGCCTCCCTAGTCACGGGAACTGTGAGTCAGTTAAACCTCTTTTTCTTTATAAGTTACCCAGTCTCAGATATTTCTTCATAGCAGTATGAAAATGGACTAATTCAGTAAATTGGTACTGCAGAGAATGGGGCACTGCTGTAAAGATACCCCAAAATATGGAAGTGACTGGAACTGGGTAACAGGCAGAGGTTGGAACAGTTTGGAGGGCTCAAAAGATGATTGGAAGGTGTGGGAAAGTTTGAGACTTCCTAGAGACTTGTTGAATGACTGACCAAAATGCTGATAGTGATATGGACAATAAAGTCCAGGCTGGGGTGTTCTCAGATAGAGATGAGGAACTTTTGGGAACTGGAGTAAAGGTCACTCTTGCTATGCAAAGAGACTAGCAGCATTTTGCCCCTGCCCTAGAGATCTGTGGAGCCTTAATTTGAGAGAGATGATTTGGGGTGTCTGGCAAAAGGAATCTCTAAGTAGCAAAGTGTTCAAGAGGAAGCAGAACATTAAAGTTTGCAAAATTTGCAGCCTGATGATGTGATAGAAAAGAAAACCCCCCATCTGCTGGGGAGAAATTCAAGCCAGCTGCAGAAATTTATATAAATAATAAGGAGCAGAAAGTTAATCACCAAGACAATGGGGAAAATATCTCCAGAGCATGTCAGAGACCTTCATGGCAGCCCCTCTCATGACAGGCTCAGAGGCCTAGGAGGGGCAATGGTTTCCTGTTCTAGGTCCAGGCTCCCCCATCCACATGGGTGTAGTCTTAGGACTTGGTGCCTTGTGTTGGGCACAGCCTCCAGCTGTGGCAAAAGTTCCAAGGGACAGCTTAGGCCATGGCTTCAGAGGGTGTAAGCCCCAAGCCTTGGCAGCTTCCACATGGTGTTAGTCTTGCAGGTACAAAGAAGACAAGAATTGAGGTGTGGGAACCTTTCCCTAGATTTCAGAGGATGTATAGAAATGCCTGCATTTTACAGGTTTTCTGCAGGGGTAGAGCCCTCATGGAGAACCTATGCTAGGACAGAAGGGAAATCAGAGATTAGAGCCCCCACACAGAGTTTCCACTGGGGCACCACTTAGTGTAGCTATGAGAAGATGGCCACTGTTCTCCACATCCCAGAATGGTAGATCCACCAACAACTTGAACCATGTGCCTAGAAAAGCCATAGATGCTCAGTGCCAGCCTGTGAAACAGCCTGAGTGAGGGCTATGCCCTGCAAAGCCACAGGGGCAGGGCTGCCCAAGACTATGGGATCCCACCTATTGCATCAGCATGACTTGGATATGAGACATGGAGTCAAAGGAGATCATTTTAGAGCTTTAAGATTTGATTGGCCCACTGGATTTTGAACTTGCATAGGGCCTGTAGCCCCTTCATTTTAGCCAATTTCTCCCATTTGGAATGGGTTTATTTACCCAATGCCTGTACCTCCATTGTGTCTAGGAAGTAACTAACTTGCTTTTAATTTTACAGGCTTATAGGCAGAAGGGACTTGCCTTGTCTGAGATGAGACTTTGGACTGTGGACTTTTGAGTTAATGCTGAAATGAGGTAAGAACTTTGGGGATTGTTGGGAAGGCATGGTTTTGAAATGTGAAGACATGAGATTTGGGAGGAGCCAGGGGCAGAATGATGTGGTTTGACTGTGTCCTCACCTTAATTTTATATTGAATTATAGCTCCCGTAATTCCCACATGTTGTGTGAGGGGCCTGGTGGGAGGTAATTGAATCATGGGTGTGGGTTTTTCCCATGCTGTCCTCATGATAGTGAATAAGCCTCATGAGATCTGATAATTTTATAAAGGACAGTTCATCTGCACACAGTCTCTTGCCTGCTGCCATGTAAGATGTGCCTTTGCTCCTCCTTTGCCTTCCTCCATGATTTTGATGCCTCCCCAGCCATGTGGAACTGTGAGTTCATTAAACCTCTTTACTTTATAAATTACCCGGACTTGGTAACTGCATGTCATGGAGGTCTGGTGTACAGATAATTTTGTCAAATGAGTAATAAGCATGATATTCAGTAGGTATTTTTTCTGATCCTCTGCCTCCTCTCACCTTTCACCCTCACATAGGCTCCAGTGCCTGTTGTCCCCCTCCTAATATCCATATGTTCTGACCTATCAATAAATATATGTGGTATTTGATTTTCTGTTCCTGTGTTAGTTTGCTTAGGATAATGGCCTCCATCTTCATTCATGTTGCTGCAAAGGACATGATCTTGTTCTTTCTTTATGGCTGCATAGTATTTGTGGTATACATGTACCACATTTTCTTTATCCAGTCTACTGTTGATGGGCTTTAGATTGATTCCATGTCTTTGCTATTGTGAATAGTGCCACAATGAACATAAACATGTATGTGTCTTTATGGTAGAATAATTTATATTCCCTTGAGTATATACCCAATAATGAGATTGCTGGGTTGAATGGTATTTCTGTTTTAAGTTATTTGAGGAATTGCCATGTTGCTTTCCACAATAGCTGAAATAATTTACACTCCCACCAACAGTGTATAAGCATTCCCTTTTCTTTGCAACCTTACCATCATCTATTATTTTTTGACTTTTTACTAATAGCCATCTGACTGGTGTGAGATGGTATTTCATTGTGGTTTTTATTTGCATTTCTCTAATGATTAGTGATGTTGAGTATTTTTAAATATGCTTGTTGGCTGCTTATGTATCTTTCTCTAAATATGTCTGTTCACACTCCTTGCCCATTATTTTTTTTAAGACAGAGCCTGGCTGTATCATACAGGCTGGAATGCAGTGGTATAATAATCAAGGCTCGCTGCAACCTCTGCCTCCCTGGCTCAAGAGATTCTCCTGCCTCAGCCTCCCAAGTAGCTGGGACTACAGGCTCATGCCATTGTGCCTAGCTAATTTTTGTATTTTTTGTAGAGTTAGGGTTTTACCATGTTGCCCAGGCTAGGCTTGAACTCTTGAGCTCAGGTGATCTGTCTGCCTCAGCCTCCAGTCCCCCAAAGTGCTGGAATCACAGTCATGAGCCACTGTACTTGGCCCTTTGACTACTCTTTAATGATGTTGTTTGTTTTTTTTTCATGTAAATTTGTTTAAGTTCCTTATATAGATTGGATATTAGATCTTTGTCAGGTGTGTGTGTGTCTGTGTGTGTTTGTGTGAATATATATATAATTATTTTTTTTAATTGTACTTTAGGTTCTGGGGTACATGTACAGATCATGCAGGATTGTTGCATAGGTACATACATGGCAATGTGGTTTGCTGCCTCCATTCCCCCCATCACCTGCATCTGGCATTTCTCCCCATGTTAGCCCTCCCTGACCTTCCCACCCCCCACTGTCCCTCCCTTGGCCCCCCCAACAGACACCAGTGTGTGATGCTCCCCTCCCTGTGTCCATGTGTTCTCATTGTTCATCACTTGCCTGTGAGTGAGAACATGAGGTATTTGATTTTCTGTTCTTGTGTCAGTTTGCTGAGAATGATGGTTTCCAGATTCATCTATGTCCCTGCAAAGGACACAAACTCATCATTTTTTTTATGGCTGCATAGTATTACATGGTATATATGTGCCACATTTTCCTTGTCCAGTCTATCATCTATGGGCATTTGGGTTGGTTCCAGGTCTTTGCTGTTGTAAACAGTGCTGCTATGAACATACATGCCCATGTGTCTTTATGATAGAGTGATTTATAATCCTCTGGATATATACCCAGTATCTTCCACAATGGTTGAACTAGTTTACACTCCCACCAACAGTGTAAAAGTGTTCCTATTTCTCCACATCCTCTCCAGCATCTACTGTCTCCAGATTTTTTAATGATCGCCATTCTAGCTGGCGTGAGGTGGTATCTCAATGTGGTTTTGATTTGCATTTCTCTAATAATCAGTGATGATGAGCATTTTTAAATATGTTTGTTGTCCTCATAGGTGTCTTTTTTTGAAAAGTGCCTGTTCATATTCTTTGCCCACTTTTGGATGTTTTTTTTTTTTTTCTTGTAAATCTGTTTTAGTTCTTTGTAGATTCTGGATATTAGCCCTTTGTCAGATGGGTATATTACAAAAGTTTTTCCCATTCTG